ATGATGAAAATAAAAGGAAAGTTTTTCCTTTTTTTTTTGTTTTTTGTTTTCATGGCGTTTATGTTTTACTTTTTTTTAACGTTATTTTATTTCAAAAATGCGAAGAGAAAGAAAAAGAGAGAAATATAAACAGAAATAAGAAAAAATAAAAGAGAGAACAAAGGCAGAAAGAAAAAGAGAAAGAGAGAGAGAAAGGAATAAAAAACAGAAGGAAAGAGAAAGAAAGGGAGAGAGAAAGAGAGAAATATAAACAGAAAGAAGAAAAAAATAAAAGAGAGAACAAAGGCAGAAAGAAAAAAAGAGAGAGAGAGAGACAACGATAAAAAGAAAGCGAAAGAGTGAGAGAGAAAGAAATAAAGAGAAAAGCAGAGAAAAAGAAAAGAGGGCAGACGGAAAGAGAGGAAAAAAAATAAAGATAGATAGAGAGAGAGAGAAAGCAATAAAAACAGAGAAAAATAGAAAGAGAAAAAGAAAGAGAGAGAGACAGAGAAAGAAAAATAATATAAATGTTGATATTTATTTAAAAATTTTTGCGTTTTAATCGAAAAAAAAAAATTATTTTTCTTAATTGCCATTTAAAAATTTTCATTTTCATTTAATTTTTTAATAATTTTTCCGCCTTGATTTTTTTTTCTCCAGAAAAATTCGTTATTATATTTATTAAATTATTTTTCCTCCAGCAATCCTAATTTTATTTTTAAAAAAATTTTTTTATTTACACATACGAAGCGGAAAAAAATAAAATTTATTTATTTATTTTTAATGAATCATTTTCCAGTCGATAAAGATATAAAAAAGAAAAAAAAACAACTAATTACACGTATATAAATATATATTTGTGTTGTTTTTCATTTCCTTTTTTCTTTGAATTCCTTTGAATAAATTTTTTCATGCGAAATATACGCACAAATATATATAATGACAAAACTCGTACCTAAATTTTTTTTACTTTTATTTTTTTTTCTTTTATTTATTTATTTATCAATTAAAATTTTATTGATTTTTCTTTTTTCACTCTTTTCGTAACATTTCTAAATATGATTCGAGCTTTTCTTTTGGAAAATTTTTTACAACCTTTATAATATTAACCAGAAATACTCAAAACGAAAAATGCAAAAAGAAAACAAAAAATTCTCTCATTATTATTATTATTATTATTATTATTATTATTTTTATTTAGTTTTTTTTATTAAATTTTAATTTAATAATACGTAAAAAACGTCGCGAATGAAAAAAATATAAAATAAAATAAAAAATTTATTTCTTTTCTTCTTCTTTTTTTTTCTTTTTTTTATTTAATGAGTAAAATCAACATTTAGAAAATAAAAAAAAACGCAGAATGAAAATAAAATTATAGTTTAAAATATTTTTTTTTTTTTTTGTTTTTAATAAATTAATTGAATAAAATTTAATTATACGGGGAAAAAGAAGAAGAAGAAGAAGAAAAATGAAAATAAAAAAAATAAAAAAAACTTTTATTTTACCTTTTTTTTCCGAAAACGAAAAAAAAAAAAAAGAAAAAATTGCCGAAGGGAAAACGATTATATTTTCTACGTCTTCTTTTTTCTGTCGTTTCCTTTTTTTCCTTTTTTTTTTCGTCGACTTCCTACGTTTCCATCTTCTCAATCCGAATCGACTTCTTCCATCCTTTCATTTTCATCAAAATTTTTTTCTTTGGCTTTTTGAAACATCTGCAAGGAAACAATAATATATATAAAAAAAAAACGATTTTTTCTTTTTATCCTCCCCCTTCCTCCCTTCCTTCCCCCTTCATTTTTACTCCTCGTGTAAAATCGTGTGAATAAGAAAAAAAAAAAAAAAATTTTTTTTTCGTTCATTCCTTCTCTCTTTCTCTCTCTCTCTTTTTCGTTTCGCGACAAATTTTTTTTCTTCCTTTCATTCTTTCCTTCTTATCTTCTTTCTCTTTATTCGGACTCATCGTATAAAATTTGAATTTTAAATTTGACTTTTAAAAAATTAATAAAACCATTTTTTTTTTTTTTTATTTTATATTATTAAATTTTTTTCTCTTAAAGTATTGCCTTAAAAAAAAAAAAAATGAAAGAAAGAAAGAAAGAAATAAAATCCGCGCGAGTGAGAGTGAGAGAGAGAGAGAGAGAGAGAGAGAGAGAGAGAGACAGAGGGAGAAGACATTAAGGAAGAGAAATGAATTGAAAGAAGAGAATTTAAAAGTCTGGAAACGACATGAGAATTTTAATAATTTCGATGAAATGAACGTAAGGCGAAAAAAAAAAAAAAAAGTAAAAAACAAAAAGAAAGAAAAAGAAAAAAAAAAAAAAAGGGGAAAAGTTTATTACTTACAACGAGAGGTTTTTTTATCATTTTTCTCTTTCCAATTATGGGCATTTTTACTGATTTTTTACTTTCGTTTAAAGTTTCCGGTAGACTCGGCTTTAACTTCGGTAATTCTGCTGGTTTTGCAACGTTTGCCAAATTTCTCACGCTTAATTCTTCCTGTTTGAGAGATGTTAGTTCCGCCTGTAACAATAAAAATAATAATAATTTATTAAAAATCTGACAGCGAATGAATTTTGTTTGTTTTTTTTTTTTTTTTCACGTGTCAAAAGAAAAACGATCAACGTGACGACTTTTCAATAATAACCACCTTAAGCTTACGAATATCCAAATTATTCTTTTTAACATCGTTCGTTAAATTAGACATGAAAGCATCCAATTCGTCTACGTCTTCATCTTTCTTTTCTTTAACATCCGATGATTTGTTCGCTTGAGAAATTTGATTTTCTATTTCTTTTATGCTTTGTAATATTTTATTATGGCGTTCGACCTGTTAAAAAATTTTTAATTATTATATATTTCATTTTAAAAAAATTTTTATGGTCACGAGAAGGGATTTAAAATGTACTGACGAGACTTTGATATGTGTAAACGTCATTATTTGATTTTATTCCAGCTTGTTCCATTCTTTGCTTTCTTTTCTTTTCAACAGTTCCCGTTCGATCCAAAAATGTGTCGTCATCCGAGTCGTAATAATCGTTGTCTTCCCAATTTTTCGCTTTTCTCTTTTTACTTTCTTTAAGAAGAAGAAAAAAAAAAAATTGACATTATTAAACAAATAAAACTTTTTTTTAAAATTTACTTTCATAATCATAAACAAACCATGATTAGATTGTCTTAATAATCCATATTGATCTAATATTCTACAAGCTTCTAAAGCACATTGTACAACTGCTTCTTTTTTTTTTCCTCTAACGATTGCTTCAGCAATTACAGGTAAACCTTTTGCATTGTCGATGGGTAATCTAAAATTAATAAATTACTTTAAAAAATAATTTCTTATCTTCTTTTTTAATATTTGAACAATAATGATAATAATAATAATAGAAAATATATTTACTTACTCAATTTTACAAATAAATTGTCCGAAACTTTTTTCCTGACAATTGTACTCTAAATTGTAACCTTCTCTTTCGAACCAACCTCTCAATGTCTTTTTCGGATCATTTATATACAATTCTTCATTTTGAGGAGCGGCAAATGGATTTTCAGACAAATCAGTTTCTTCATCTGCATCTTCGCCTAAAAAAAAATTAAATTATGGTTATTAATAATAATATTTTCAATTACATTTTGGTAGGTTTTATTAAAACATTATTACTCTACCCATTCCCCAATCGATTCCATCTTCCTCTTCCTTTTTCTTCCTTTTTTCTTCTTCCAATTCCTTTAATAATATTCTTTCTTTTTCTGCTGCCTCAGCAGCAAGTTGTTCTTTCAATCTTAAATCTTTGAGCTCTGTTACAGATAATTCAGACTCTGGTTCTTCATCATCTTGTGGACCTTGTAAAATAAAACTTCTACTACTCATTCCTAATTTAATTATGTGACCTACCTAAAATAAAAGTTATTTTAATGCAGAATATAAATTTTTTAAAGCTTTACAAAGTCTGGAAAATAAACATACCTGAACTCTAACATATATATTCGATTTGATTCTATTTTTATTGAGAAATGTTCCATGAGTACTATTCAAGTCATATATATAAAACCCAGGATTATTATCACTATCACCTTCAGTTCTATATTGCATCACTGCATGAAACCTAGATACTGTTGGATGTGCCATAACAATATCACAATTTCCTAATCTTCCAAAAACATAATATGATTTGTTACTTAATTCAATTTTTTCAAGTATTGTACCAGATTTTAATACTTCAAAAGAATATTGACTTTGTGGTAATCCAGACCATTTCGGTTCTTTATAAGGTACTGGAGTAGAATTTTCAACTAGTTTTTCTG